TTCTCTTAGCTGGCTGTAAGACGCCTTCATGACGTTCAACTAGATAGGGGTTTATATTCTTGTTTTATGAATAATTTATATTTATATATAATTTACCGTATTAATAAAATTTGAAAAATAATTTAAGCCGGAGTCTGCAACTCTTTATTGAAGCACTTTTTTAAAAGAAAGTACTATTGAATCCAATGTGCTAAAGATATACAAAGGCATTAGGAGTAAATTTAAAAATGCAGTGTATAGGTTTCTCCATATACCTTACATTTTACTGAAACATTTGAATAAAACTTGATAAACAGAAATGTAACTAATTTTGAAATAGAAAACCGTTTGCAAAATTCGTTCGGGCGCTTTTATTACAGAAATAATTTTCGTTCCAGAGAATATTTAATAAATTCTTCAAATGATCTCAAAATGTTCAAAACCGCATCATTTGAAACGTTTTATAGTTTTTAAGGTATTACTCCAAAATATCTCAATTACAGGATAAATAACATTTATTAGAGCGTTGGTAAATTTTTAAGAGAGCAGGTTATGAAACAATAACTCAATAACTCTCCTTCATGTAGTTTTAGTAGCAATCAATAAATAATTAAATTTGTCTCATTGAAACAGATGTGCTTCAAACTTTTACTGCAAGGAGTATTTCAGAGTACTCTCAAGGCTGGTTATATAGCTGTAAAACGTCGTCAAAGTAATTATCTAAAAATTATCTTTCATTGTGATTCAGATTACTTGAAATAGCTAAAAATTGCATTTAAATTTGGATGCGAATGCTTACATTCTTAAAATGTACATTTTGATTACGAGTTTTTAAAGAATTTTAAGAAGCATTTAATGTAAGTTCAGCACACTTGAATTTTAATAATGAATAAAAATTACTTTTTGAATGCTTTGCATAAGAAAAGGAAAATGCATTCGATGTCTTTTGTATTTGGAAAGCTTAGAAATATTTTCGTTAGACGATGATAAAATATTCATCACAATACTTATCACATAGAAAATTGGTAATATCATACGATAAATGTTTCAGAACATCTATATATTTATTTCATGCAATTAAATATGAAGTAATAAGTTAACTTACCTGAAGAATATCAGGAATACTTTCGAAGATTAACCAAGAAACAACAGGCAGCTGCGAAAGAGGAAATGCTTAAAATAAGACTTTAATGACACTAAAAACTACTTACCTTTAACTGTCGTACTTTATTTTGAATTTCTAGAACACTGCATTTTTCCAGTAGCTATTTTAGCATACACCAAAGACATATTTTAAATTTAAAATGGATGCAATATAATATTGCAAATTTAATACAACGTAACATTGTTTTCTTTTATAAAGTTGTGTGATTGTGCATTTTTCAGAAAGTTAATATTACATAAATCTGCTTCATTTAACTATTATTTGCATTTTTATTCTGTGAATTTACTGAATAATTTGAACGTTTTATTCCAGAAAGTTTAATATAAATAAGTTAGCTCTGTGTGAGGACGTTCAAGGGACTGCTGACTAGCAAGTGTAGGGACTGTTGAATGTATTTACAGAAATCAATGACACAGAGTATCGTGATGTTACTAATCCAAATATTGAGATATTATTGGTTGAGAAATATTTGTTTACTTGTGGAAATAAGCTTCGACTAACATTTGCAGATAAAATAACTTAGTAGGAATTTGGGGGGGGGAATGCAGTAAAGGAAACATATTTCTTAATCTGAGAATTGCAACCATTCAAACGTGCTGAATATTATTAGTAATAATTTCATTATTTGGTTTTTATAAAAATTAAAAAATACGTTTGATAAAATATTAAAAAATACGTTTGAAACCATGGTAGCTTGTACACTTTTAATTTAACTTTTAACTTTCTATGCGAAGCTTCCCATAAAACATTTACTTAGCTCACGTTTTAGAGTTTTATTTTTGCAATGTGGATATTGTGCTTGCTTTAAATTAAAATAATATTTTAAATTGTGAAGATTACTTTTACTTCTTTGTATACAGATTATTCCTCGCCAGAAAAAATGTTTCATTTAAAAAATTGCTTAAAATGAAAAAAAAAAAAAAAAATTGCAGATCCGTAGACAAATAAGTTGCTAATAAGTGACTTTAATTTTGATCAATTAAATTTGATTTCAATTGTCTCTAGTAACAATTAAATTTAATTTCCTATTACTCGACCATTCAAATGCACAGGCAGCTTGCCTTGAAACACTAGGTCATATGATATAACGCGTGAATTATTCGGCAGCATGGCATGATCTTTTCTATAGTGTATCTTCAGGATATGCGAAAAGTATGGTATTGTATGCGGTCTGCAACCCACCTTCATTTTTATGGCATGTAAGAGAGAGAGATATTCTCTGTAGAGCCAAATGTATTACACTCGTACTCGTCTAGAAAGAGAAATTCAGAAAAGCCGTTAACACAGGAAATACGTAGTCATCTTGAAGAAAGTGGGTGGTGACATTAACTACTCATGAACGAACTTAAAACTTGCCTCTGGAATACCCTGAAGGTAAGGAAATAAGGTGGACTGCGGCACTTCCATAAATTATGAGGATCAGGCTTAGACGGTTCAGCCTTAAGACCATTCTTTTTAGGTTCACATGAAATGATTCGTTGTTTGTTCTGAGGCAGATGCAAAACTCATAGTTTGTTACTGTAACATTTCGTCATATTAGTTAGTTCTAGTGCAGCACCAAACTCAGTCATTCAAAGTATTAGAAACGACTAAGGGAGAGACTTTCGGGATGATGACAAAGGCCAGTAAATTTTCCGCAGAGGTTTTATGTTGCTTCATTGCATGCTTGCTGAATTGTTTGCATGTTCAGCTGAATACAGGTGGACTGAGAGAGTAGGGCTGTTACTGCATAATATCCGGTGTGCCAATCAACATTTTGTGGTGTTATTCAATATTTTTAGTCTACTTTGACAGATAACGTCTGTTTCCTTTATTCAGTTTTTAATATTTAGTAATAAATGTGAATTATTTTATTAGTTTTGACTTCGGCCACTTCCAACTTGAAAAATTTGCATTTGATTTGTTAAAAGATTTTCGAGGTTTTAAACTCATTCATTTTTTATTCCTTACCTTTCTATGACATCATTCATAAAATTGTGATTTTTCTTATTCTCAATACGCAGAACTGATTTTTTTTATTTTCCGGTTTTCATATCTATATATTTATGCAATCCCTGTTCTCAGTAACAACTTCAATTTCAACTGAGAGAGAAGAGCTGTTACGGCATGACATCCAGTGTGCCAATCAACATTTTGTTGTGTTATTCGGCAACATGGCTATTCATTCTTAATATATTTAATATACTGCGGAATAACTGCTGATACTTAAGCAATTGCAATTAGAGCGAACTTAGAACCAAGAGTTGATAACTGAGTACAAAGTTATTCAAAATTTTTGAAATTCAGGCTCACATTAGTTTCTTAATGAAACTGCATCTTAGGACAGATGTTGCAGATTTCTGAATTCTATGCTTATGAAAATCATGCAATATTTTGAAGTAACCTGTTAATAAAATACAAGATTTTTTGAAAATCCTTTCCATTTTTAACACCAGTTTAAAACATGATTAGATATATTTCAGTTAATCAGTTAAACACAAATTGTACAGTCTAAATATCTTTAAAGTAACAGACAAAATGTCCACACGCTTGCTAGCGAATGTGTTATTCCAAGATAACACTGATTCAGGGAAAGGCGCAGTATATGCTTTTATAGTCAGAGCAGGATGATGAGATTTCAACGCATCGTATGCTGATGCGTTGAAATCTCAGTTATGTATTTGAAAGTAGAAGCATTAGGAAGTGACATTAGAAGTTTTTAAGATAGGAAACGTTACAAATTCACTGTGAAGGGGCCAACCGGGGCCTGGCCACTTTTCGGTAAATCTCTGTTTCCAGAAATTGTGAATGCCATTTCTCAATATTTATTACATACAGGTTGCATCTTGATACATGAGGCTAAACATTCGACATACCGGCACATGAATTTAACTTTGCATGCCACAGCACTCATAGCAGCATCTCCTGAATCGGCGTAACCTTGGAATCACGTGATCATCTTATTTACAGTACTGTCATGTGTCATTTTAAATACAACTGGACAGCTTATTTCACTAAAATAACTCTGTTCGTCACAAACCTTAAGATTTCTGAATGTAGGAAGGAATTTTGGGAAAAGCACGTATTATGTTAGCTCAGCGGTTCTCAAGCTTTTGACTAAACGCGTGCCATCTAAACAAAAATTGAAAACCTTTAGTACCAGGACCACTCTTGAACAAAGCTCAGATCGCATAAATTTACTAACGTTAGAGGAAAAAATATTCAATCAGGATGTAGTTTTTTAATTTTTGAATTTAATAGTTAAAAATACTTTGCTTCTTTGCGCACCATCTGTTTTTCTCTTGCGTACCACCACCGGTTGAGAACCCCTGCGTTCGCTTCTCGTAATTTTTAAAAGTTAAGAGAAACAATTTGTTAACTTAATAACTTTGCTATTGTGTTTTTATATCTTCATTCTAATGCAAAAATTAAGAAATTAAGTTATGAGAATGTACGTGAGAGTGTAGGCATATAAGAGAAGTGCAAAAATGCGATGTAAGAAAATAACGTCTACCATAGTTCTGCGCTGACTGTTGCTGCAATATTAAATGAATTTATTTCATTCTTTTTATATTTCTTTCATTTCATATTATTATAAGGTACATTAATGAAATGATTACATAATCTGTAAGTAATGATTACATAAACTGTAAGTAGAATATTAATTACTGTATTTAAATGACACTAATATCAGAAATTAAATTGGCTGCTGGTACTATAGCATAAAACTAACGTATTTACCTTTATGGAAGATCTGATTTCTTTGAGGTGAGGAAGCATAAAATTTAAGCTTTCCTACCTTGAGTACCATACACATCAATATATGTAAAAGTATTGCGTATTTTAAATAAGAAAAGATTCATGAAAGATAACATACCTTATCTTGGGGAGTATTTAACTTGACAGTTGATCCACAAGAAACATTTGATTATTGAAATCTAATACGGAATAGTTTCTGTTAATATACACAGTCAGAATCTCTAAAATTGACACCTATAAAAAAAGAAATGAATTAGGATCTATTTTTCATTAATTTAGCATGATTATTTAATGTACAGTAGACATCTATTTATTTTGACGCCAGATATCCGAAACGCCATATATATGATTTGTTTAATGTTGTTTTGAAACCAAATAAAATAAAACTCGCTATTTCAAAATTCGCGTGCTTTTAAATATTTTCATTTATTTAAATAATGTAAAACGATAATATAGAAAAGATTATATTTTGAAGAAGCCACTCAGCAAAATTAGCTGTGCATATACGATAGGAAATTTGTAGAGTCATTAGTTAATTTTGAAGCAGGAGATGTGAAAATATGTAATGCCGCCACTGTGACAAACACCTGGACCTCTCGAACACGCGCCGAGTGTGCTACAGTTACAATACGAAGGTACGCGGAAAGGAGGGAGGAAATACCTTATAGATTTGCTTAAGGTATTTATTCAAAAATTGCTCTAAAAATTAATAGAACAAAAGATGCGTATTGAAAATAGGATTATTGTTCTGTATTTAAAATATTTGTTTTATTTTAAGTGATGTAAAAGGTAGTTGAGTGCATAGGTAAATTTAAGATAACTTCGTTGCTGATATTTATCAGAAAACATATTTTGTATTTTGCTAAATAAAAGGAAAAATATTTTACTTTTATTAATCATTTAATCCTTGCTGAAATAGAAGACTAAGGTTTTCTCACTTACAATTACGGTAAATAAGTATTTGAAATACAGGAATATCTAGATCGTGAATACACGAGAAAAGCCTGAGTATCCCGATTTAGCGTATGCGGGTGGGTATTGATCACAGTTCGGATATTTAGAGTTATAATCTCTTAGATAGTCATATTATTAGAACGCTATAGTCCGCAAGAAAACAGTATATGAGAACAATATATATATATATATATATATGAGTATATATGAGAAATAATTCAATTTGTTGGTCACTGAGAGCTAGGAATTTTTTTCAATGCCGTTAACTTGCAAATACTTTGGATGACATTTTGAATGTTGATTAAATCATTTTTCATCATGTTGCAGTTTTGAGGAGCACATTATGTCTCAACGCTTTAATCTCATAATCTCATAACATATATGATACTACAGGAAACTCTATTTTTGTACTTTATGATACCCCTGTTTGTCCTTTTGCATCAAGTCGATTTTCAATATTTTCCATATTTCATGAAATTATTTACCCAATACATAACTTCAAAATATGATATTTTCGCTACAGAAGGTCAAAACCGAAGTAATACAATGTATATATGAGAATTAAGTTATACGTTTGTAGAGTTCCTCACTTTGTAATTCTAAGTTGGAAGTGAAGAATCTTAAGAACTGATAAACAAATAATCGCTCAAGTTCAGGTGACAAGAAACAACAAGATAGAAGGGTAACTAACCCTTTATTATTCTAATAAGATTTAACAAGACTCCGCTTGGGAGTGTACAAACAAAGCCCTCACTTGGGCTTGAACTTAAGAGACTAAGAATTAAACTAAAACTAAGATTAACTAAAGAAATATAGCCGAAGCTGTCAAGATTCAAATCGAGTTGGCCCCTTAACTTATTTGACTACGAAGCTTAGCAAGGGCCTGAGTACGGCCGAGCATAATAACAGCTTTGAGAAAGAGAGAGTGGCCAAAAACGCAGACGAGCGTAAATCAGAAACTCTGATTCTCTCTCACTCTGTAAGTAACTTCGTGGTTTAAATACCGCTCCTCCTTATTAAATATTCAGCAAGATATCAAAACTACGTTCTAGCTGGAAGTAGTAAGTTGAAGTTAAGAATTTGACGGGAAAAGAACTTTAACTTAAAATTTATTTAACTGTTTATAAAATTAACATAATCCTTACAAGTTAATAATTTATAAGATTATTTCATATTCTATCAGAAAATTAAAGCAAAAGATATGACTGACTGTCGTTTAAAATATTTGTAAAAAATAATTCTTGAGACATTATCTGAACTAGCTTAAGTTTTCAAATCATTATTTTCAAACAGAAACGAGTGTACGATTTATCTCGTTCAAAAGCAAGTGTTGAAATGCGCCTTACAAATGAGTCTAAGTTAACAAATGCTTTTTATTAACACCTCCTCATTGTTACATGGAAATCTGGAAATCGTACACGAGTTTAACTACAGTTATAATAGAATTTAAATGCAAATTTAACTTCTGAGACGTGGTAATTGCTGTGAGATACAAGCTGAGCATTTCCCAAGGGAAGACAAGCTGTATACGCGTCTTATAATTCTAGGAAAGAGTTCACGGCTTTCGCTTCCAGAATTATGCAATGCATGTTTAAAATTACTTTAACTCTTAATGCTATGCCCTAGTTACACATATATTTCGAAATCATTATCTTGCAATCGTAGTTTCAATTTTTAAGTGATGGTAAATTCTGTGGCAGATCAGAGAATGATTTTATTCGTTTTTGAGAAAGCAATAACAAATGCCTAGATTTAAAAAGCCTTCAGTTGAAATCTAAAATGAGAAATGTAAATCCAAAATTGTTTATTGCTTGCTGCTACAGCATTCTTTAAACGGAATGAGGAGTCCACCAGCTGTCAAGTGGTAAAACTTCGACAGTGGTTCAAATTTCGGCAAACACACCGACTGAATGAGTTTTTAAATTAACTAGTGTGTTATACGAATATGAGCCAATTTCATTCATAAAGTTCTGAACGAAGGCCGTTCTTCCCTTAGGCTGGTAGATCTTCTGGATTTTGTCATAATCTAAATAATCTAATTCTGAAACAGACTGACTCACCTCTAATATAAAGAAATATAACACTTTAAACTGAATACCTTTGAGATAAATATCACAAAATTTCGAAAGGTCGGTGTTTGAAATAAAGATATAAGGAGAGTGAAAGATTCAGGTAAAACACTTGAGGAATATCGGCTTAAGGAGAGGTATAACCTGCAGTATGTCTTTGTAATGGAAATTCGTTCGTATTTGCGTTACACACCGGTAAAACCACGAAACCTTCCATGCATCCAGCCTGTCTGGTAGTATTTGATCTTCGAACGAATTTCCCATGGTTAGAAATGTTACCTCTCAATCCCTCGCGAACACAATTCAATGAAAGTTTGGATGTTATATTTCGTCAGCAAGTAAAATAAGATCCACGCCAAAACGGTTAATTACCTTACTATGATGCTCTACAGGTATGAATTTAATTTTCATTCAAAAATGTGTATAAAGTTATTGATATGTAATTCATTTTAGATTAGAAACTTCATTATTAACATTCTCTCCCCAGAAGCTGGTAAAATATTAAAATAGTTGAAACGGCTAAAAGTTTCTAAAGTATAAATAATAAAAGAATTTGACAAGAAACTAATGATCCATAATTAGCAATAAAAGCCACTGTGAGATCCCTTTAACCGAAAAGATAAACAAAACGTAGTATTTCAATTAAAAATATTATAAGTAAGGAAGCACGATGTTAAGGAAACCTCTTTAAACAGAAAGACAAGAAAATATTGTAAAATTGATGAATTTGTAATAGGAAGTTGACTAGACACCTATTTTGCTTTAGGGAAGTACAAATAACTGTAAGCAAAATCATCTATGATTGCTGAGTTTCTAAACTTAGAGCAAAAAAGGAGAGACCAGCTGCTAACTAGTAAGAGTGAAGAATTTTATAATAATTATTAGCAGTATTACACCCGATGATAACAGCAGAAACCTGAAAAAGGAAATATTGTTTTTTTTTCATTTAATTGTTCCTTTTATACACATAGTGTAATAAATACATGTAAACAAATAAATTAAATAAATACATAAAATGCAAACAACAAAAAAAAAAAAAAAAAAAAAAAAAACAACAACATAGTAAAATAAAAAGTAAAAGATTTGACTCATTAAAAATATAACGGAACTTTTCATTTTGAGTTGCTACTACTTGTTGTGAGAAAGATTTGTTTCTCTCTTTTACCTAACAGTAGCAAAGGAATTCAGAATATGGCAGTATTCCCTAAGGAAAAATTGTATATCTTAATAAGGGGGGGAGGACAAAAATTCAGAACGAGAAGGAAATGTATTTTATTGAACTAATTATTTAAAATTAAATATGAAAGATATTTCTTCCTAAATGTAGCTTGAGAGGGAATAATTACTTGTTATTATAGACAGTTAACTAGAGCTGCAGACAATGAGTAACAGTCCCTTTTTGTAGAGATACACCTAACACTGTATCCGTCGCTTAAAATGTTTTGAATTATTTAGCTAATCGAGACTCGTCGCTTTCGGTTGCATCTTCTCAACTTCTTGAAATCTATTCCTTAATACGAAAGAAGGGAGAAAAAGTCGAACCAATGATGATCTCGTGAACAGGATGGTTTTTCGTCCTGAGGAAGACTTATCTTCTCTAAGCCTGTTAACCCGAATTTGGATGAATGGGACGTGAGTTGGCATAATGGAGTTGTCATATGCCATTCTTTTTGATATTGTCTCCCTGGAATGAACTGAAAGAAAGTGATAGTAATTATTTTAATTTGAAATTTTGTTGTTCATATATTAAAGCTTTATTTAATTTACTCTTTTGATTTAATTGCTGTTTTGATAGTTTTTTACGAAGGGGGTCATTGCCTTTTTGGTTTATTATTTTGTTAACCTGGATTCTTCTGTTTTTATTTAATTATGTTAATTTTACTTAGTTTTCATTCGTTTCCTATAGAGTCTTTAGCTTCTGGCTAATTTTGATATTTCATCAATTTGTAACCATGATCATAATTTTCTATAAGTTTTAAAGTATTAGTTCTTTGAAAGTAACGTATTTTACTAGAAGCTGTTTTCGAACTCCAGAAACACATCGAAACTATGAAAGGTATTTGAACTTCAAAACTATTTCGTTGCCGATTTTCGGGAAAGTGGAGGTAACCGAACTTTGACTGTCTAGTTTGTTAGAAGGGGTTCCTCCCGTTTTGGTGACTCTGTGAGGCTCAAAAGGAATGTGTTTATCATAATGCTGTCTTTGGAGAGG